ACCACAATCGACTATCCATTGTTTTTAAAATTAACTTTGACTCTTGAAGAGTTAATATGACCTCACTCACGCTTCATTAAAAAAAACTATTCACGATATTACCCACGTGTCCAGTCTTGTATGTCCTCAGTTCATCTGACTGTCGTGGTTAATTTTATCATGTCGAGACAGGATATTTGGGGTCAGCTTTAAAAAGCTATATTTTCCGCCTCTAAATCATATTTCAAGGTCACGAAAGTACTTCGCCTCGTTTACTGCACGGATGTAAGTCACCAGTACAGGTGTTACAATTTGCTGTAAGTCACCAGTACAGGTGTTACAATCTTTGCTACGCTGCGAGTTCTGAGCTGTTTTCACTTACATGGGATTTTCTGTTCTGCCCTAAAAAATGCAGTGTGGTGACATCTAATATATAATTAAAAACCGGACAGGTTTGGGAAAAGTGTGTAGGGTAACGACGAAGATAAACAAGGTGAAATAAATTAAAATTAATAAAAATAGCCTACGCATCTGTTTTCCTACACAGACATGGAGGTCGGTACGAGTACACGGCGCTCGAAGCAGATTCCACCGTACACGAGCGCATGGAGTTGGAAAGAAAATCTCGCGAGAGGGCGCAGAACGCTTGTCAACACTATTTGCGATCCTGTTCAAGATACGCCTTGCTACACCACCTCAACGACATCGGTACGGTCAGAATCTCAATCAATACGAACCCTTTGGCCCACCCGATCTCCTAGCCTCTAATTTCCCTCATGGGAAGACCTACTTTATTACGAGAACTGCTGTAGAAATTTCTATGAAAGCCATTGAAGGTCACATCAAATTTGTAATTTATAATTTCCTACAATCTCTAACAAGAACTTGTGAGGTGGAGAGGACATTAGATTTTCAGGAATTTTCAGGAAGATATATGTTAAAATAAACAAAGCCAACGACCACTATTTGAAACTGTGCTATGAGAGTGGTTCAGTAGGAGTCTGCTCAAAGCGTGTCATTCGCGAATTTTGTGTCACGCAATCCAACGATTCCATTAGAAGCGTGGTCTAAGTCAGTGGTATTCAACCTTTTTTGTTCGCGTACCCCCAGATATAATTTCTCTTCAACTTTGTACCCCCAAAAGTTGTTGGTGTATAATTCAAGTTATACATAGTATATAATCTACATCTAAAATAAATTAAATAAATTACATTACTGATTATTCAGTGTTTATCATAAAATAATATATATTTTCTTAAAATTTCACGTACCCCCTAAGATGTCTTCGCGTACCCCCAGATATAATTTCTCTTCAACTTTGTACCCCCAAAGTTGTTGGTGTATAATTCAAGTTATACATAGTATATAATCTACATCTAAAATAAATT